AAATTGAAGGTTTTAACCGCCACTAAGGCCCTTACTCACTGTTAAAGTTAACACAGGAATAAATACGCCCTCGAGCCAAGTTTTTTTTTCTCTTTAATTTAAATACAATTGACATTTCAAAATGCCCAAATGTGCTGATGGTGATGGTTATGTCAGTTAATGCGAGACCGACACTTGTCAGTACAACAAATATTTCCGAAAAAAAGACCCGTGCCATTATCTTTCTAATGTGATAAATTAGACACCTATATCATATTCGAGTATTCGATATTACAATGACGTAAATAATACAAGTGACATATCAATATTGATTTATCATTGTCAGCACAAATAACAACCGGCATCAATTGAGCGTTTTTTTTTATGTATTATCTATGGTACTTTTAATTTTTAAGCTATTGCATAGCTTCTATCGAGGGCCTTGAGCGCGGGGACCGAATCCAGAAATTCCGTAACGAAAAAAACCTCACGCTAAAAACAAAACAAAAAACAGTACCAAAATCAAATGCTGAACGTCAAAGGAAATTTCGTCAACATAATGCAGAAAAATCTTACATGGATATGTAGGTAATTTGATTTAATAATAATATTTTTTATTTATTTATTTAAAAACAAATTGTAATATATGCTTCAATATTTTTATTTAATAAAAGAAAAAAAATTGTTTTCTTATCGGTCACCACGCTCAAAAAGTGTAACTTGAATTAATATCAAAGAAAAAGAAATACTGCATAAATAAAATAAATAAATAATTATAATTGCATAAGTTGATACAAAATGCTATGCAATAGCTTTACCACGGCAGTCCCCGAGTGCCACACGTCTTTTTTTTTTTTGATTGTGTATAAACTATGGTGTGACTGAATTGATCTGGAACATATTACACACTACTTATTTCAAATGCATGTAAGCGGGATGCAATTATTTAAATTTTGGTATACTGGGTAATACAATATTTTAAAATGGATTTTGTTTAGGTGTTAATGAATAAACATTTGAAATAACATACAAATGAATGTAAAGTATTTCGTACTGTCAAAAATAAATGTTTCAAAATAAAGATTGTTACTTGTGCAGACAATGAACTTTCTTTTTATATGAACAAGCATCCAAATTAATTTTACAATAACCCATACAAAATGGTAAAACACATCGATAATTCGTTAATTTCGTATTGAAATTAAAAACATGCAAACTTTCCATACAAAAATATCTCATAGTTATTACACATACTATAGACATACTGAGAATTTTATTGCTGCCTAAATTTACCAAACATGGTAAAAACAGCAAGATACTTTGCTGACTAAACAATATTTGGTAAAATAATCTAAATGTTTAAATTTGGAACATCGTTATATTAAATCGATTTGATATAGTGATGTACCGAATTATGGTGAAATAATACTTAATACGAATTGAAGAAATTTGCAAATTTATACATAACAGGAAGTACATTGCGGTGACTATTATTATTCTTATTGACTTCTAATTAATTCTAATTACATTCGTATAATACAATAATTTACTACGACATCTATAGCTACATTGCAAGATATTGTTTTTTTTTTATTTCTGACGTGGGTATATTAGTTATTAAGTTACGAATTCAATGCTATAGTTTATTTACTGCATAAAAAGAAAATAATGCACTTTTATTTTATGTTTTGTTATGTGTTTGAAATCTACGGATCTATGTGGCGTAGGCCAATAAAAAAAACAAAAAACCGGCAATTACAAAACTCAGTTCCAAGTTACAGGTCATTTTATTGTAGATTATTTTTTGTTTCTATTCAGTGATTGTGAGTAGAACTATTAAGATTTCTCGTATTTTCACAGGCATTCTTCCTGTATTATAAACTTGGTACTAAACATGGACTTGAAACCTTCTATTGAGTGTTATAGTGGTGTGCTTTATTAAACGTTTTTTTTTAAAATAAAGGGGATGTTCAGGAATGCAACAACTATCGAGGAATGAAGCTTATGTCACATACTATGAAAGTCTGGGAGAAAGTGATTGAGAGGAGAATAGGAGATGAGAGTGAGATAGCCCAAAGTCAATTTAGGATTATGCCGGGACGCTGGACATCAGATGATCATATTTGCAATGCGCCAACTATGTGAGAAATACAGGAGTGCGTAAAAAAACTTGCATATGGTGTTTGTGGACCTGATATCATGCATTTGTGTGCATATGACAGTGTACCCCGAGAGGTTTTGTGGTGGGCTTTGAAAGAAGAAACAGTGCCCGTTAAGTTTGTAGAATTGATTGGTGCTATGTACAGAGAGTCTGGAACTCATGTAAGGTCGGTCACGGGAAACAGTAATCAACTCAGTGTCACTGTAGGCTTACGCGAGGGATCGGCTCTGAGCCCATACCTCTTCCTGTTGAAATAGGAGACACCTTGGTGCATGCTGTTTGCAGATGACATTATGTTGGTAAAATTTAGTGATTGAATGATCTTGTTACGTTTTTATCGTGCGCACCTTTTACATGTGTGTGTGTAACTTATACACTTGTATGCAGCCGAATCGTCCTTAAGGAGTAGACTCCAGTCGTGCGTCGGAGCTGACATACACACACTTTTTTGTGTTTTATCGTTTTGTGCTATAATTATTTTTGTGTGCTGTATGTGCTAATAAACGTATTTTCTTTCTTCCTGTTCTTTTTTTATGACTGATAAAAGAAAACCAGAGACTTTCATTCACAACTTTTATCAGTCCCAAATCTTGCAATGTAGCGTTCGCAGGGCAGGGACATATAATCGCGTTAACATGCCTAGGGTTCCACACAACACTGGTATAGGTAATATAACTTTAGGCAGTCTTTGGGTAGGTCGGAAGATTTTAGCGACTAGGTATTCAATAAATAATTGTACTAATTTACCACACACCTAACTATACCGACAATATGCCACCCATAATCATGTTAAGGCCTTTTAAAAATGTTATTATAGTTAACTGAAAACATCTCAAACAGAGTCCGCTTTAAAAAGATTTGAATTGCAATCAGTTCGTAGTAACTTCTAACAATGTGAAATCGAATACTAAATTCTTCCCTTAACGGGGGTATTTTTACTGAAATTAGCACTAAATAGAAAGTATACTTCTTTTTTTTTTAAAGGTTCATAAATAACGGAGACATGAGGATTTAAACAAAAAAAAAAAAACTTCCGAACAAAGATTCTCTCGTTTTTTTAAGTCGTTTAAAAAAACAAATGAATTTTAAAAGGCCTTCATGAACATATTTATTTCGTTCAGTTAGGTAATGTTTCTACCGACCACATATACTATTACTAACATCGACTTAACCTAACGAGCCACAAATTAGTGAGTAAATATTCCTCCAACCGTTATTGGTGTCATAAGAGGGAAGCGAATTGCACTTACCCTAAAATCATTTTTTACTTAAGTAACTCTCTTTTTGTGCGACATGTTTAGACTGAGGGTCGACAATAACAATCAAAATGCTATCCTAATGGGCAAGGAAGGATTGAATTTCCAACATGTTGTAATCGTTTGATACTTTGTAAGGAGCACTCCGCTCGACTTCACTTCAATAGGACTTGACCCTTATCCAGTGAAAATATTAAAGTTTTGATGTAAATATAAGCAGAAGAATACCCTGATTTGTTTAAGCGTTACATAAAACATTCTAAAACATATTCACTATTTTTCCAATTTATTAAAAAGGTTATATTACGTCGAAAATCTTTTTTAAACATTGTTAATACACGTTCAAAATTTGGGATAAATACGAAAAATAGAACTGGAGTTAAAACAAACAATATTGCAGTTTATCAAAGGTTAAGACGGAATTTTATAACACTCTTGTAAAATAAATAACATTTTACCCAAACAAATATAGTTTTGAGAGGTGGAGACTTGTGTTAATTCTACGTTGAATACATAGGCCGAATTTTCAGAGAGATCCTAGAAGAATTTAATGGCTACACACATCTTTTCTAAGACAACATGTAGTACCACTAGAACATGCAACTATTTAATGTACTGTTTTAATTGCAAATGCCCAATTAGATATATGAGAGACATGCAGATGTAACACTCTTTTTGTAGACTTGAATTTTGAAACCAGTTATCAGCTAAATGGTGGTATTAACAATTGAATCTAAAACAAAGACACATACTGATTCTTAATACTAAAACTGATTCAAATAATAAACATCCGACTCGCTTTATTCTTTGAAAATGTATTCGTAACAGTTTTACTCAGTTTTTATTTATTAAATCGATTGGGCATTTACAATTAATTTTACTTCCTCTATAACACCATATAGATTTGAAACATTTCATTTTCAAGTTTCTAATATTAATATCTTCACAATTTCAATGTGAGTTTACACGTACGTAACGTAATAAGTGAACTTTGACATAATTGGCACATTTATATTTTTTGTGACCAGCACATTTTTAGTTATAATTTAATATTTGGCATTGTGAGTACTGTGCAATTTTTAAAAATGTTATACATTTCTTTCATAATTTTGCGTAGAGTACATAATTGAATATTTTGAAGAACATTAATGCAATTGCTGCGAATAGTATTTTGTATATAAAATTGACGTCAAACTGGAACAGTTATTGATGAATTAATAAATAACCAAGCAAGTTGTGCTAAGGCTAATTTCGTTAATTTTAGAGGTCTAGCCAAAAGTTTACTGTAGTTCTATTACAGAAAGTCAAGTATTCGATTTTTTTGCATTACTATTCTGCATTATATTTAAGGGGTTTTGCATACAAATAGTTTTTCCATATCACCAAATCACAACTATTAGCACACACAAACCCCTAAAGCCTTATACAGATAGGGCTACCAAAAATCGACAACCTGCAACATAACTAAAATAGTAACGATTGAGTCAAACTGACTCAACTTCAAGATGTCAGTATAATCTCGTTGCATTGCAATGTCCGTAGGTCGTTAACTGATCTTTAAAAAGTTTTGATAGCCACATCTGAATTTGATTTTGATATTAAGTTTACATCATAAAGTCGCCACAGTCAACTCCGAAGTCCCAGTCATCGGAAGTCCCAGTGGCGGAGTCATCGTATTCAGCGAGTGCCTGCTCGTAGGCTGATGCTTCGTATGCAGTAACTCCATCAAGCATGGAGCATGCCTGGGACACGTTGGTGTGATGCATGATGGGCATAGCGTGGAGGGCGAAGTCGTCACCATCTTGAGACCATGTAAGACCTGGAAAAATGCATATGATATTTTTTATTTCATTTGTATATTATTACTTTTTGATTGATAACACGTTGAACACGTCATGAGAAAATCTGTTTATTTTGTTTGTAAGTTCTCTATTGTTTTCTCAAGAACTTGTGTGTTCCGCTAACTCTTATTAGACAGCGCGATGGACTTAGACTATTAGTTGAACAATATACTCGTAAGATCATGTCGTTAGTGATCGTTCGTGAACTAACTACGCAGGACAACAGCACTGCAAAGAGAAGGAAATCTTGAAACAAACCCTATACCAACCCGTCTGGCCAGCGTGGTATAGTAGGCCAAAAGCTCTTTTCTAAAGAGAGGCCTATGCCCAGTAGTGGACTATTAAAAGCTGTTGATGTGATGATGAAATATTAGTAATCCTAGACGCTGAGCGCTATAATATGAGTATTTATGCGACTCTTATGGTAATATGGATGCTACATTAGGTAAGAATGTATTAGTGTTAGGTGTTAGGGATTTTGCGTTGTATCGTCTCTATCTAAGTCACATTCTCTTACAGTAGTTTGTTTAAGAAAAGCTATTCAATACCAAAACACAATAATCGACCGCTGATTGGCCGGTATTATGGACGTATCTATCAATTTAATAAAACAAAATACCTAACTGCCTAAAGTTGTATTAACGGAGTTTCCAATCATTATGTGGAATTTAATAACAGACCATTGTCTTTTATTATTCACAGAAGTACCTGTTTAAATACTAAATATTATAGTATCTAGCCACGTCTATCACTATTACGTTACTACATAGCAAAGGTAATTAAATGTGGGGATTTAAAGGCGGTTAGCTTGTCGATTCGTGGTAAACATGGTTTGACTGATCTGATTTAATTTGAGTTGCCGTTACGAAGTTTGTTTTTGAATTTTTATCGTTGTTTTCATTGCACTCCAAACCCTTCTTTTACACTGACTATCAGGTTGTGGAGAGTTGGCTGGTCTAAGCTACACTGTCAAAAAGCGAATAACTCCTTATAAGTCCCTAACCATATTAAGGTTCACTGTGGGAATGTTTACATTCAGGTTCAAAACAAAGCACTGAAGCACGATTCGGTGCGATATTTTACTGTAGTTCTCAAGCTATGCTGCTACAAGTTTTATATTTAATTAAGACAGCTGTCAGGTTTTATTTTATTATTTAGTACCGAGAAAATAACGTTTTATCCAGGCCCCTCTTTCCCACTGGGCACTCTGGGCACGTGCCCAGGGCCTCTCGATCGATAGAGGCCCGATTCCTGCCAGATCACCAATCAAAAATCAATATTTATCACCAAAAACATATTTATTTTGAAAAAATCATTTGTAATGACTAACTACAATACTTTTTTTTTCTATTCTAACCAAATAGTGCTCAGCTAAGTTCGTAGGGGCCCCATTAAGCTAATTTGCCCAGGGGCCCATTAAGCTAATTTGCCCAGGGCCTCCAATAGGCTAGATACGGACCTGGTTTCATCTCCAGCTGTACTTATCCATTGCAGCGATGAAATTAGTTTTCGAAATCAGGGGCAGATAGAGCCTTGTTACTTTGTTAACCCGAAGTGTTGTAGTCCAATAACGATGGAAAGAGATACAACAATGTAATGCAAGTATATATCCCAGGCTCTATTCACGGGAATTACTTCGAAATCATTTGAAAGGGTTCCTACAAAATTATTTTGCTCCTTTAAATATATGCGCAGTTGCAATTTAAGTTAAGGTTTCTACTAAATTGAAATATTTTTTAATGAAGGAAACCTTTTATTCAGCATGATGAAAACAAAACAATCTGCTCAAGTTTAAGTTTTCGGTAATCTAGCAAGATATTGTGGTCCGGTTCGGTGTTCCATTAAAAAATATAATATATTTGATTGCTTTTGTTTTTTTTATGGATTTAGTCATAGTTTGAGCCAATATAGATCATTTCTTTATAATTCATGAAAAAACTTACGTCCACTCCAAACTCCATTGGGTAATGTGACCCATCCCCAGCCTTGTCCCCAGGCGAGCTGATGATCCAGCTGGCCTGCAAGTGGCACCTGGCGTTTGATCACTGCCACCAGACCACGGCCATCTAATGCTCCGACTGCACTGCGAGCGTTACGGTTGTACATTTCGGAGGAGGTTGCTGAAAGAAATATTATTGTAGAATATAGAACATACGTATGTATATGAATGTTTAGAAAAAAACATTTCTTATTATTATTTTCCTGTTTTTTCTTGTGTGTCTTTTTCTGTGTCTTGTCCGTGTAATGACGGATTAAGAATACGGAGTGTCTATTCAACCTATCTGTGTCATAGGAGCCGACTAAGGGAGTAAACTACACAACAGTACAAAGACAAAGAGAAGGAAAACTTGACACAAACCCTATATCAATCCGTCTGACCAGCGTGGTTATAGTAGGCCTAAACCTCCTTTAGTCCTTTCTAAGGAGAAGCATGTGTCCAGTAGTCGACTATTAAAGGCTGTTGATGATGATGATTTATGTCTGGTGTAATATTTCAACGTTGTGACCAGGGTCCACCTTGTCCATGCGTGAGTACAGTATTTTGCGCTACGAGTATACTATTGCGTAACTTGGATTAAAATTATAGTCATCGAAATGTGGATTCTTGATACATCCCTGTCTGCTTGTCTGCTCTTCTGCTTGTCTTCGGGATTAAAGGCGTGAGTGTATATGAATGACCGCTAAGTCTGTAGGTAGGTTTCATTCCTACCTAGGACCAATAGATGTGTGATGAGCATGATTATTTGTACTGTGTCAATCCTGTACAATACTTTTTGCATCAGAAAATACTGTACAATACTTTTTGCAATAACACCATTGACACATGGGTTCTAATTTTAAAACTTATCACAGATAGCAAGGAGTTGCTACTGAAAAACTCCTAGTTTCATTTTCATGTACATGCTACATATATATATTTTAATGTGCAAAAATAAACAGAAGTTTTCTTAAGAAGTAAATGCTATTATTTCTGTATAGTTTTCCATCTATCAGTCACCTATATCGCTGAATTCAAAATTAAATGTCTTTTATAAATGACAAACATCTTATTATAACTCATAAACATAATTTACTAAATAATATTGGTAATTGGTAATCGGCCGCCATCGAAACCGATAGTTCGTAACCAGTTGAGGATAAGGAAAATGTATCCTTGTACGAAACCAGTTTCGAACCAGGATTTTCCAGCGAAAATATTGCCAAGCAATGTAATTTTTATGTCCATTATTGAATGCTTATTTTTTTATCTATTTCGGAATAAGAAACAATATTTCCTCCCTTGCATCTTTTCGTCTTCGTAAGTAGTAGGTTTTGTATAGAGAAAAAAATCCTTGTTCGAAACTGGTTTCGTACAAAGATAATTTTTTCCTCCACTGGCTACAACCATCTACATATTTCGATGGCGGCCGAAGGGGATTTTTCTTCTTCATAACATAAAATTGAGGGTTAAAACTCATTGCATGCATCGTTTTTAAAATGTAGGTTCTCAATTAACCTATTTATTTTCTTTTATCTATATATACAGGTATGCTAAAGTATTCATATTGAACATTGTACGTTCTTGTATCACTTTTCATGTAATTGTTGTACATCGAAATATTTATTTTTTCTTGAAAGGGGTTTTCAGAGCAGTAGAAAAACTCCGTTAACCTTTGATGTATTTGTTTGTTTTTCTTGTACCGTGATTTAATTGCATCAAGTCTTGTTTTTTTATAACCTAGAATTGTCAAAGTGCGCCTGATAAAAAGCAAGCCGCATTGTACTTGATATCGAACAACACATGTTAATGTATTTGGCGCTTAGATCTTTTATATGTCTGGATGGAGTGTCGCAGTCATAGCGACAATACAGCTAACCCACTAAGCGACAACAGAAAGAAACCCAGTGAACATCAATTGGACACCTTTTTTTTCGTTGCTTTCACAGCTGTGACAGTCTATCAAGAGAATCTAGACATATCAATGATCTACTATGTAGCGTTAAGAATCACTTTCCAAAAGACTTCACCAACAAATAATGTGTGATTTTTTAAGCGTTTGGTTTTTAATTTACAAAAACCAAAAACAAGAAAGTTGTAAAAATATGTAAAAAAATTATTTGGTGTCAAAATAGATTTTTGACACCAAACGTTTTTGACGTTTTAGACGACCCATACGTGAAGTCCAATTTTGAGTTACTTTTTCGAGCATATCGGCTGGTATCTCACCGATTACACGGGTGAAATTGTCTTCTAGTGCTTGGATCAATGTTGGTTTATCGGCATAAACAAGAGATTTGACGTACCCTTACACAAATGGTCAAACAGCGTCAAATCGCTCGATCTAATCGGCCAATTCACTGGTCCAAAACAAGAGATGTATTGCTCAGCATATTCATTGCGCAATAGGTCTATCGTTTCTGTGCTACGTGACATGTGGCACCGTCTTGTTAGAACCACATGCCGACAACAATTCGTGGATCATACAAAGTGTCGTCCCATGTGCGGATCGGACCCAAAATACTCAGCGTAGTAGTAAGCGGCGAGGTGACCGCTTAAACCACTACGCCATCCGTGTAGACACAAACCAACTTAACATTTTTATATATATGAATTCCCATCTACAAGTACAAACAAATTCCTCTTAAATCACTTTAACACTAAGGTAATAATAGTGTGTCACTAAGCATTATTAATGACGTGGCATGTCGACTGTAGGTTTGGCGGGAACACTGACAGTTCGTGTGGCGGTCATGATTTATTGTCTACTAGTAAAACCTTAGTGAAACCAACATGTAGGAGTAAATTTTAATTAGTGCTTACACTTTAATAGATTTTTTATTATACTTGTTATGGTTATAGCGTGTTATTATAATTGTCATAAATAATAGATACAAATGACTAATTAAGAAATAAAGTAGAGCGAGTACTGCTAGCTAGTCGCAGCCTCGAACACTTTTTTTGGGGTTATAAAAAAGATTTTACATGTATTAGAACACGTCATGTTAAGTCTCTCTTAAATTTCTTAAATGTTATACAAGAGATATGTTAGATACACACGAGATCAATAAATCTGGCTCGGATAATGAATCAAGAGGTTGATAAGGAATGGGAACATATTCCTAAACATTGTATAAGTTACTTGGTATACAGCATGCCAAACCAGCACAGTAATCACAGCACCTGGAGACACAAAGTACACCAAATAAAAAAAAAAAAAGTTGTAGGAAATACTATGACTGTCTGACTAGGATGGCGTAGTGGTATAAGCGGTCACCACGCCACTGTCTACTCCGCCAAGTGTTGTGTTCTCAAAAATTCTTATCCGAAGTCTGGGTGTTCTTTGTGTCCATTTCATGTATGTTTGTAAAGTCCGCCGCGACACGGGATCATTCCTAGAGCAGTTGTATTTAAAAAAAACTCACATTTGCTTTAGTTAAGATAATTTTCTCTATTTACTAATAAATTTAACCATTGCCTTCATAACAAAAATCCAAGGTCCCTCAGTGCTCATTTCAAGCACGCCCACGACTTCATTATATCGAGTTTTCCCTATACGAAATTGGACATTGTTTAGAACAGGACGACAAGGATTATGCATTATAACTTCACAAACTTTGACCCTACAGAGCCCTTAGGACGAGTTTCGGACCAACAAAAGCTTTTTGTTTTCATTTTAAACGTGCTAAAAGGATTTTTTTTCTAGCCTGCCAGTAAGAGGATATAATTGTAAATATTGACGTGCTTTAGACTAATCTAATATGTATACGACAACGTAACTTTTTTGAGAAACTCAAACTTTCAATTAAGTATATTATCGATAACAGAAAAATTAAATCACGTTCGAAATTTGAAGCAAAACACACAAATATCCAAATCAGAATGGTTGGGTTAAATGAATTACAGAAGAATCTGAGACGGCCCCCACACTCTACCACCACCACCGCGCCGCGACCAAGAAAAGAACACAGGACCGGCAGCCTGTGCCCTGCGTACTAACGCTCAGACCAAGCTTCAAACGTGAAAATTGTGACCTATTAGCATAGGTTCTCCGGTTGGCCACGACCTGGTACATGGCAACTAACTTCCACCTGACAAGAAAAACCAAATGGACGATAGAACCCACTGCACGGTGTGGTCGAATGATCAAAAGGCTGCCTAGTGCATTTTGTGTGTATTTTGTTTCTAATTTTGAAGCTCCTTCTCCTAAACATAAGCTGTGCTTAGGAGAAGTGGTAGTATTTGGATGGTGTTGCCGTCAGGCTGGTGTATATAATGGAAAATACTGAACGGTGGATGGAGAACTGATTGTAGGTGGTGTATCCATATGTTTGTTAAATACCGTTGTAATTACTTAACTGGATGTAATTTAAAGAAAGTAAATTAAAAACTAAATCATTATTTAGTTTAAATTAATAATAAATTTATTTATTTCCTTCATACATTCGACTTCCTGCAAATACATTTCACAAGGCGGACCTAATGACATATTCTTCCAGTCGATCGACAGTTGGGTGATGCAGAGCTGTGTGTGGCAGGCATTGAGTTAAAACAACACTAGAGAAGCAAACCTCCTTATCACACGTCGAAAAAAGTGTAACCACTTTTGAACTTTGACGACGTAGCTTTGATACCACTAAGCATTTGAAAGTAAACATATTTATGTCTCATTTACACGCGAGACAAAAACAATACCATCGCTCGGATTAGACAAAGACACAGACATAACTTTACGATGGTGGGCCAGTGTTGACTACCGTATGAAATTTTACCCATAACAACCAAGAAACAATTTTTTTTTAAAACAATTTTGTATTAAAATCAATTAATTTAAATATTTTAAATAATATATTTCGAATTGAATGGAATAGGTATAAATAATAAAATAACTAGAAATATTTGGTTAAAAGGGTTTATATTCAGTGTAAAATCCGCTATGAAGCATCCGTTTTGTATACAATTGTCTTTTAGACTCTTTTTTATAAGTTTGTGTGAATATTTTACTTTCATGATACAATCTTATTTTTACCTATGTATAAATAATGGCATTTAATAGTAAAAGTGAATGATCAACTTGTACTGTTAATAAATCTTTTAATATTTTAAAATACAAATAAAAAAATAATATATATATAATATATA